GAGAGAGAGAGAGAGAGAGAGAGAGAGAGAGAGAGAGAGAGAGAGAGAGAGAGAGAGAGAGTGAGAGAGAGAAGCAGACGGAGAAGGGGAATAGGGATGTCTTTCTTTCGAGCAAGCATAAAGCAACACCATTCTCAACGCAAAAGGTTTGACCAACCACGCCTAGACACTCACATGAGTTATCAAAAGAGATATCTTTTTCTTCCCAACATGATATGGTGTAGTTGTTGGGGTTTTTGTTGTTGTCTTTTTGTGTTTCGGTAAGTGCTTTACGACGCTCACAATTGCATAAGGTCATATGAGTGCTCGTGACGCATGAAACATTTTTTTTTCAGTTTGGTGGTAATTAATTTTTAAAAATTCCCTGGTGGGGGCCGAAGTCAAATCTTTTGGACCGCCAAGGGATCTTTAACGTGCACAATTTGCATATGGGACCTCTGAGATTCGTTTGCCCTTATCCGAGATATTACCTACCCTAAGATCTGGGCTGTGGCTGAAAGACAGCAGTAAAAAGGAGCCAGGGGATAGCAGTAGAAAGGCTCAAGAAAGAGTCACGTGCCAAAGAAGGGGGGGGGGGGGGGGGGGGGGGGCAGAAAGTGGAGACGAAACCACACGACCGAGCATGGTTAGAGAGTAAGAAAAGAGGCGAAAAGAGAAAATTTAGAGAAAAAAAATATTTCTTCGCTGTCGTGTTTCGAACACGGGACCTATTGAATGAGAGGCGAGCAGCACAACCTCTAAACTACGACGAGAGCCCCTGCGCAGTTAGACGAACTTGTCCAACACGTAGAGGTTCGAGGTTCCAATCTGAGATGGGTCTGTATTTTTGTACTCGGTCCTGGAATGTTTTCTATCTTGGTCCAGTGACCTGGGGTGGGGGGGCATGTGCCCTACCCTCAACATGACCTAGATTGGACAAGTTTGACCGGCGCCTGTGGTGTAGCAGTTAGGCGGTTCGCTATCGCATGCAGGAGACTGGAATTCAATTCCCGATCGTGGGAAAGATTTTTATCGCGTGTCTCGGTCTTTCTGCTGGGATGCTGTATCCCTCTCAGTCCGTGTTGGCCTCCTCAGAGTGGGTCGAAAGCCTGTCTCCTAAATGATCTAAATCAAATTGTTGGGGATGTAAGAACACCTTCATTTAAAAAATATATTATATAAGAATCTGTTGGAGGTAACACAGCAGAGGAAGACAAAGAGCAAGATACACAGATGGCCTGAACGACGTTGCAACAAAAGCAAGATGAGAAAAACCGAGCTGATCAAGACGACAAATTACAGAAAAAAGGGGCCCCATAATCATCAATGTCTGCTTCAAACCTGACAACGGAATAAGAAGATTATTCCTTTATCTTGTATAGTATAGAATAGTATAGTATAGTATAGATTGTGAAGCGCATAGAGCTTGCTGTTGAGCGGGGATTTGCGCTGTTCGAATGATATCTGTTATTTATCTGTAAGAAATATAGTTATCAATGTGTTCTTTGAAACATTGATTTCTCTCTCTCTCTCTCTCTCTCTCTCTCTCTCTCTCTCTCTCTCTCTCTCTCTCTCTCTCTCTCTCTCTCTCTCTCTCTTTCTTTCTGCCCCTATCTGTCTATCTCTCACTGTTAATCCCCCCACCCACCACCACATGCCGATATTCAATCAGCTGTCGCCTCCGCCCTCTCCCCCGCCCTCTACCCTCGTAACTCACAAATGTTCAGCTAGTCACGTGACCTCATGGTCAGCACGGGATCAGATGAGGGCTCACCACAGAATTCTACACTTATAGAAGCGGAACTCCCTCTTCGCGATCGCCGATTCGCTGTGAGGAATTGAAACTAAAACATGGC